AAAGTTTGATTACAATATCGTAAAAGTGCCCGATTTGTGAAACTGATATGAAACTAGTAGAGCAAGAGAACTGTATAGACATTTTTGAGTGGATGTGTAGAGTTACTGGAGGCAAATTAAGCATCGAATTTCAAGGTCTGTTCGAAAGAACTCGTGGTTTGCAAAGAGTAAATTGAGCATGTGTGATGTTTTGCGAATTACCTATATGTGGTTGGCGTAAGTGCGGGAATGATGGAATATGAACGGAATTACGTATTGCTAAAAATACGGTGACAGATTAGGAAAGTTTTTGTAGGGAAGTATGCATGGAGTTATGCTTGAAGGAGAATGTGATGTTAGGTGAGGAAGGCATGATTGTGGAAATTGACGAAAGTAAGTTTGGCAAGCAAAAGTATAATAGAGGGAAAAGAGTCAAAGAAAGATGGGTTTTTGGTTTGGTTGATAGAGGGACGGATAAATGCGTGTTTAGAGTTGTTGAAAACAGAGGTGCTGAAACGTTGTTGTAAATCATTAAAGAGAATGAATGTTGTACCAGGATCGACTGTTACAACTCGAATCAATGGAGTTGGTTACTCACGAGTTTCTGCAATTCTCTGATTTTTTTAATTGAAAGCAAATTTCTGAGTATATAAGCAATGCAGAGTTTATTCAATGTCTGATTTTTTTAAGTGAAAATAAATCGACGTGTACATGGGCAAAGCCAATATAGTGCACAATGCCGAGGTTGTGTGTGATGCCGAGTTTGTGCAATTCTCTGATGTTTTTTAAATGAAAATTGATCGATGTGTACAGGAGCAAAGCCAGTGTGGTGCGCAATGCCGAGGTTGTGCGCGATGACAAGTTTGTGCAATTCTGTAATGTATTTTTAAGTGGAAACAGACTGATGTGTACATGGGCAAAACCAATGTGGTCCGCAGTGCCGAGGTTGTTCGCGATGCCAAGTTTGTGCAATTCTCTGATGTTTTTTAAATGAAAATAGATCGATATGTACATGAGCAAAGCCAATGTGGTGCGCAATGACGAGTTTGTGCAATTCTGTGATGTATTTTTAAGTGAAAACAGATCGATGTGCGCATGGGAAAAGCCAATGTGGTGCGCAATTGCGAATTTGTGTAATTCTTTGATGTTTATTTTAAGTGAAAATAGATCGATGTGTACATGGAAAAAGCCAATGTTGTATGCAATGCCAAGGTTGTGTGCGATGCCGAGTTTGTGCAATTCTCTGATGTTCTTTAAGTGAAAATAGATCGATGTGTACATGGGCAAAGCCAATATGGTGCGCAATGCCGAGGTTGGGCGCGGTGACAAGTTTGTGCAATTCTCTGATGTATTTTAAAGTGAAAATAGATCAATGTGCACACGGGTGCCATTGTGGTGCACAATGCCGAGGTTGTGCAATTCTCTGGTGTTTTTTTTTTAAACGAGAATAGATCGATGTGCACATGGGCAAAGCCAGTGTGGTTTGCAATGCTGAGTTTGTGCAATTCTCTGATTTTTTTAAAAGTGAAAATAGTGAATGTGTACATGGGCAAAGTCAATGTGGTGTGCAATGCCGAGTTTGAGCAATTCTCTGATTGTTTTAAGTGAAAATAGATGGATGTGCACATGGACACCTAGTTTGTGGAATTCTTAGATGTTTTTCGAGCGAATACTGATCGTGGTGTACAAGGGAAAACGAGGTTGTGTGTGGTGCCGAGCAGTAACGTAACTTTATTTATGTGCAATATTTAACCCTTTGACGCGCCTTGAAACCACCAATTTTCGAATTTTTTTCTCCTCTTCCTTCTGAAATTTTTGAGTGAAAATCAATTGATTACTGATCTCTTACCTCTAAATAACACAAAATGACTACATAATCATACATGTTTTAGGTCTTAGTACTTCAAATCGGATGCCTTTTCAAATTCATTTTCAATGAGACAAAATAACTTTCTTTTATTAATATAAACAACTTTAAATTTCAAAAGTTATTCATCACACATCATGATTTCTATCATAAACAATAAAAAATAGCAATAATTAAACTGCATATAGAAAAAAAAACCCTCTATATGTATGGCATTTGCTTTGTGGTTTCAAGGCGCGACCACTGCCCCACTAGAGCATTGTATAGCGATGCTCTAGAGGCTCGGTGGTTGCGCCTTGAAACCACTGCTCTTCACAATGGCGTTTGCTTGCTTTCTCAAATAGAAATGTTTATTTTTACCTGGATATAGGTAAGGGGTTTTGAAATCACAGAGTTATTTTATTACAATCAAAAGTCGTTAATCCGGACTCATTGGGACTTCGGTGATTCCGGATTATCGATTTTTCCGGATTATAGGTCATCAGTTTAAATGTCGTAAGATGGCAGGCAGAAATTCTAAAATTAAAAATATGAAACCGTAATTTATGAAATAAAGAACAATTATGATCTAAAGAGTATCAAAATTTACAAAAAAAGCTTAATATTTATTTGTTTACTTTATTAAACATTTCTTTCAATGTAAGTTGTTTAAGTTGCTTCGTTTTATGTCATAATACTTTCTCTTTAATTCTATAAACAGACATAATTTCTTGTTCAGTTACAAAGTTTCGCTGTTCAAGTCCCGTAATTGCTGTGCCCGAGAATACCGACTAACTTGTCAATCAAAATTTTTTCGTTTTCACTAACCTCTCTGTCACATTCTTCATGTCTTTATCCATTTTTTGTAGCAATTCCACTTTTTGTTTGATGGACATCGAAACATACTTTCGTTTTGTAGATCCTTTGGGAGCTCCAGCATCGGAAATTCTATTTGACATAATCGAAAGTTCAAGTTTACTTTTATAAAATTGCTCTTACAGTCTGCAAAAAATAATAAGCCGGATCCAACTCGAAGATTAAGGAACAACGCAATCATCAACATTAACTGAAATAGATAATTAGATAATTTTAGCTTATACCATCCGTTACACATAAAACGCGCACGTGAAAACGTATTCTGCGCTTGCGCAGTGTTGTTTAAATTAAAAATATTTTCTGAATATTTTGAGACGAAATATGAATAAAATAAAGTATGAATGGTAAACAAATGATCCGTACCAAAGCCAAAGAGACCAAGCCCTCCTATTAACATAAAAAAACCACAAATTTCATGTGTCAGATGAAAAGAAACTAAATAACGCTGGCCATATACCAGTGAAATTTAGGTCCAATCAGTGTACATTTTGTAGCACAAGGAAAGAAACATCATAGAAGGTACATGTGCGAAGCGTGCAATGTGGGTCTATGCACGTACCAAAAAGACAAAACATGCTTTGAACAGTGTGACAAAAAATAATTGTTCTTTGAAATTAAAAAGAAAAAAAAAAAACACTCTTTTTTTTATCTTTATTTTACTCAGTTTTTTTAATCCATGTAGCCAAACGTCCTTATTATGTAGGTACTTATACTTTCACTGCTATAGAAAAATTACATAAGTATTTGTTTTTTAATTTTTTCTGACGATTTAGTTTGTAAAATAATGTAAAAAATATATATATTATGCAGTTCTTATATGCATTTTTTTTAAAAATTCGTAAATTTCGTTATTTATTGAAAACACGCACGGAGAAAGGTAAGCTTTTTTTCCTACTACCTAGGTACGTTTCAAAGTCCTACGCGTGGTGGTTTTACAGTGTGACCACCACCCACAAAACAATGGGCAAGAGTAGATTTTTTTAAATTCATATATTATTTGTCTCTAGGATCATAATATTCAATTTCTAGAGTTTTTAGTTAAAAAAATGATAAAAATAATATCACACGCGTCAAAGGGTTAACGTATCTTCTGTGGATTTTAAATTTGAATTATGGTGTTAATTGTAAATCTCATTTGAAACATTTTTTTTTTTTTGTTATTTAAATTGTATTTTTAATTGTTTGGTTTTGATATGTTGATAATGCTTTCCGACTTATGATAAATATCGATAGTCCAACAATCTACTCAACAGTTGCAAAACTGTAAACTTTGACGCTTTAAGTAATGTTTACCTCATTATTTTAATATGTAGTGTTTGGTATCATATTTTCACTTGATAATATGAGTTCATTGATAATATGTGTGTGTGTGCATATGTGAAGCATTGCTTAGTGTTCCAAGTTTGTAGTATTTTCTTATATTCATTGTGGGAAATTAGATTTTTATTTATTTATTAATGCACAGAATTCTAGTATGCCTACAGAGAATATGGCATGATTTAGGAATTTTAGAAACTGATATGAAAGCCATAAAAAAATATTCTCCATTTTTATTAATGTAAAGTTTAAAATTTTTAGAAAATAATGAAAATTTTCTAATTATTGCTATGTAAGGAATTATGTCATTATGTAACGAGAAGATAATTTGTAAAAATTATAAAATTGAAATGTTCCACAATAAAAATTTAAATTTAAAAAAATCTTTTTTATTTGTATAAATGCTTTAAGAAAAATCTTTGCAACTATTAAAGCTGTACAAGTATTAGAGACTACGACATTGTTTATCGTTTTAATAATTGTTACAATACGCTCACAATATCATGGTAATTTTAAATATAAACAATTTATTATACTTATTATCAGTAACACCTAAGCTTAAATGTTATAAATGTAAGTTTAAAGTAAAGAATTTGATATTCATTTACAATAATAAAGAATTTATTATTGTTATTTTTAAGAGAAAATAGAAAGTATGCGTAATGTAAATGCGAGAGTACGTCGTGACGTCACAAGCTTAATCCAACCTATTTATGGACGTCCCACAGCTCTGCCTTCTGAACTTTGTTGATGCAGCCTATTCTGCACTTTTACCCAAATTAAATTTATTTACAAACAATTAACTGGAACTGTTAATTTACATAAAGCTCATTAATATTCCATCAATTTCATGTTTAACATAGAATTGGCAGAAGGTCATATGATAGCTAAATCAGATTTTTTTAAAATTTGCTTTGTGTGATGCATTCTTGGACTAAAAAATACATTAAATATCCTTACATTTTTTTTCCCCTCTTCCTAGTGGTTTGGTGATCTTGTAACTATGCAGTGGTGGAGTGATTTATGGTTGAATGAAGGTTTTGCAAGTTTTATGGAATACCTTGGTACTAACCATGTGGAACCAAAGTGGAAAATGGTAATATGTGCTGTAATGTGATTAGAAAAACTTTTTCATTCATAATTTTTATGTTTTCATATAAGATAATAAACTGAAAAATTAGTGACAAAGCAACTTTTGGAATGAAGTAATGATAGATTTGATATTAAATTGTATTGATTTCGAGAATGTTTATTATATTTCCTCTTCATCTAGAGTAAAAAAGAATTGTATTATTGAGATAATTTATATTTTCACATGATTACAAATTAGGCTGTAATAATTGTTAGAAGTAAGTGGCAGTGTTCCATGGTAGCAGAAAGCCACTGTGAGATAGTTTTAATTTGTTCACTGTATAAGTTACAATAAGCCACCATGAGATAATTTTAATTTTTTCACTGTATAAGTTGTAATCAGAATCCTCTATTAATGAATGGTGATTCTGATATAATTATATGGAGTCTTAATATTCTACCTAGTAGAAATAATGTTAAATTCATTACAATGTATTTTTCAGTAATTTTTACATGGCTATTTTTTCCACACTCCTTTGCTACTTTTTGCTGAATTTTGAAAAAACACATTTGAGGATAATTTGATCTGCAGAAAATTAATTTAATTAATAAATGTAATTTAATTAATTTTATTAGTAAAATTTATAATGAAATATAAATGGGATGCTGAAATTAGGAGTAGCTGATTAGTTGGTGTGAGAAAAGAAAATCACTAAGGAAATTTTTTCTCAGTTATGGTAACATTTCTAGAATGATCATCCATTTTTAGCTATTACTGTAATAGATTAAAGCTCGATAGTTCTTAAAATAAGCCTTCAAGCAGCATTTCTTGGATAATGTTCTAGATCTATTACTAAACACTAGAAAAGGGTAAATAATTTTAAATAAAAAAATATGCAGTAGTATATCCTGATAAAGGACATCCACTGAACCAAACATTTTGTCCCATAAATAGAGGTGTTTGTTTTTCAGAGTGTATATTCTTAAAAAATAAATAAATAAATAAATTCCATTTAATCAGAATTTCTTTCAGGTTGTATGAAGAAAAAGTTTTATTATTTCAAAAATGTTTGAAATTAACAATAGAGAAATTAGATAATAGAAAGAAGAAATTTATTGAAAATAATCCATTAGAAGAAATTTATTGAAAATAATCCATTACACGGGTTTGTTTAAAAGTCTGTGCATTGCAAGTATTTTTTTTTCCACATGGATATTAAAGTCACTGATGTTCTTAAGTCCTGCACTGTCACCATGAACTTTTTTAATTGGGTGGTGCCTTAAGATATCTGTATAGTTTTTTTCGTGTCGCCTATTTCATCTGGTTCTTTATCTTCCGCACTGCTTTCCAAGCAATTTTTGTTAAAACTCAGATCATCAACTACAATTGAAATAAAATATTTTATGTCATCTTTGATATCTTCAGTATTGAGATTATCACTGATTTTGACAACTTCAAACAATTAATTCTCATCAGTAGTATTTTCACTGACGGCACGCAAAACTGGAATTTCAAAGCCTGCTTTCTTAAAACAAGGTTGAACATAAATTTGTGATACAGATTTAATAGCCTTTGATATCCATTGAAAGGCATTCAATACAGTGACACGTTTGACAAGCTGATCCCTACATCTTGACAAAGAACATGCCATAAAAACAGTTTTCTGTGATGAATCTTGAAACTTCTAATTATACACCAAAGAGCCATTGCATTATGACCACCCTCCATCTACAAGGGCAATCCCAAAAAAAAAGGTCTCCTATTTTTTGGGGACGTAGAAAAAGTTTTAATACGGTTGTTGGCAACACTGTTGTGAGTGGTGCCTTCTCCGCTACCGCATAAGCACGCAGGCGCTTCGCTCGGATGCTCAGTCTTGGCTTGGCGCCATTCGAAATGGAGCTCCCGATAAACGTTACCGCAGTTATTCAATTTTTGAACGCAAAAGGCATTAAACCGGTTGAAATTCACCGCCTATTGACAGACGCTGTGGCAGTTTTAGTGTATGGACAGTCGTGCATGGATGTCAAAAACGTTCGCAAGTGGTGTAGAGAGTTTACAAGTGGTGTAGAGGTGTTGAGTTCATAAAATGCGTAAAGATCGGAGGATCATCTGGATGTTCCTGAAGCTCCTCAACGCTTCCTGAAGGGCAGGGCGGCAAGCTGGTATAACACGGGCATTGTAAAACTGCCACAGCATCTACAAAAATGCATCGACCAAAATGGTGATTATGTTGAAAAATAAAGCATTCTGCAATCTTTAAAGTGATGTAGCAATTATAGAAAATAAACGGTTCTTTGTATATCTAAAAATCTAGGAGACCTTTTTTTTGGCATTGCCCTCGTATAACAATGGGCTCACCCAGGAACAAAATCACTGCATGCACGACTGATTTTGGATAGCTATGCATTGTCTTTCCAAACATAGCACGATTAGCAACATAATGGGAAAAGCAGCTGATTTATCAGACTTTGATAAAGGTCAAATTGTTATGGCTCGTAAACTGGGAACATCAGTATGAGAATCAGCGCAGTTAGTGGACTGTTCACATGCAGTTTTTATTTCACTATACACCAATTTCGATTGGTGGTAACTAATCGAAATTAGTGTATGGATGGTGAAACAACAAGTCGGCGGCCGGCAGTGTGTCATCTCTGGCACATTTATTCTAAAGGAGAATGGAAATTGCTATGCATTGTTCGCCATGACCGAAGAGCTACAACAGCCAAAATCACCACCATCTACAACAGTAATGACCCAAATAGTGTTTCTCAACACACTGTGCAGTGTACATTGCTGCGTATGGGTCTATGCAGCCGTAGGCCAAAGCATGATGATGATGGCCTTGCAGTGACAGCACATCATCGTCTGATGCGTCTGCAATGGGCCAAGAAACATTGGAATTGGACATTAAAAGAAGGGAAGAAAGTTGCATGGTCCAGCGAATCACATTTTCTGGTTAATCACACTGACGGGCGTGTGCTAATATGCCAATTTCTAAATGAAACTCTGGCTCCTAGATGCATAGTTGGATGAAGACAAGGCCAGTGGCGGGGGTATTATTGGTGTGGACAATGTTTTCATAGAGTACATTAGGACCCATAATTCACATAAAACAATCCCTGACATCTGTGTGCTCCATGAGTTTCCTTGCAGACCAGATTTACCTATTCATGACAACAGTATTTCCAGCGGGGGATTGTGTTTACCAACAGGATAACGCACCATGTCATAAGGGTAGAATCATCATGGAGTGGTTCAAGGAACATTCCAGTGACTTTCAAGTCTTTCAAGCCTCCTAAGTTCATATGACATTAATTCAATAGAGCAATTGTTGTCCTACCTGGAAAACCAAATTCATACTGCCACGCTACCCCGCCCCCGGCAATGTGCAGGAATTGCAGGACCAGTAGGTGAGCGCTTGGTACCAGATACTTCAGACATCTCTCAGCACATTATGGAGTCAATGCCATGCCAGGTGCTGGCAGTTTTGAGGGCTAAAGTTGGTTCTCCATGTTATTAACAGGGGGGTCATAATGTAATGGCCCTTCGATGTAGATTGGTCCAAAGGCTGTAATTCTGATTTTGCATTAGATGGGAAAAACATTAATTTCAGTTTTACATTTGGGGGGGTAAGCTGGCAAATTGTCAAGAAATAGCTGAATCTTTGAATTTTTTCTAAACATTATTTCATCAAGAGCAATCAACCATTTGCACGTTATGTTTTGCATCTTCCAGGACTTTTTATTGTGGTGCCAATGGACGATAAAGCTTTTGGATTATGTGTTTGAAGCATCTTGGTTTTCGGGCATTTCCATTTACAAGTGGTTGCTCAAGCTCTCCTTCCATGTTACAAGAAAGTAACAGACTGAGACACTCTCCTTGGAGCTCTTACCACCAGAGCATTTTTCTCCTTGAGTTTTAGTAGGCAAAATTCAATTTTTTAGTGTCATATCCTTCACAAATTTCATGTAGCCATTTTTGTCCAGTCTATTACATATCTACTGATTTTCCTTCACCACAAATAGTCTTAAAAGTAATGTTATGTCTTAAAAGTAATGTAATGTCTATTTATGGTTTGGAGGTCTTTAGTCTCAGACTTTCCAAAATTTCTTTTGCCTTTTCTTGCAATGATACTCCACTTAGGAAATATTGTTTGCTCTTACAGAACAAAACCAATTGAACATTGCTGTATCAATTTCATATGATTCAGTTTTTCTAATATTTACAGTTTTTGAATGTTCATTTGAATTAGTAATCCACAATACTTTTTTTTCTTCTTTATCCATTAGGTCAGGATTCACTTGGTTTTTGTTATTTCCAAATTTCTGCCCTAAATCTCTCAAACTAAGCTTTTCACTTTTCAATTTCTGCTACATGAATTATGTAAACTTTTTGTTTTAATGTTAATTTTTTCCTCTTTGAAGCCATGCTAGATAATGTATGCAAAAATAACGCACAAGTACAAGATTACATTTCTTTTGCTCTCCAGTCCTAGCAAGAACTAAGAATGATATAAGTTTTCACTCTAGCCCCATTGTGATATCCTTGTGCGTTGGCAGATAGTCCAGTCATCTCATCTCCTTTTATTTCCCATTGGTCTCTGTCTTGGATTGCCTTTAACTTTTTTAACACTATTTTCTTCCTTCTACTAGGAACTGTTGCAAGAAAAACAGGATTTTGAGTTCCATGAATATGAAATATCCTTTTGATTGCACCACAACTTGCTTTTTCCAAATGTATTGTTTTCATTTTCCCCACTGAAAAGTAGTTTTTGAAGCAGAGAGATGAACTTTTCATTTTATTGTTCACTTCTCATAAAACTATCTTTTACTGAGCACAGACTTGTTTATGAAACTGCAAAAGGTTACTAACAAAGCATATTTATATTCTTATTTATTTCTGTACCTCTACCTTATTTTTGAAACATTTTTTCAGTATAAAAACCTCTTATTGAGGTCTACCTATTCAATAGGATCGGGACCCACCAGTGGCCAAGTTGCTGAACACTGGTAGTTCGGTCTGGGGTTTGAATCCCAGCAAACAGGCTGGCTGTATGGGTGTTTTCATGATTTTTTGCACGTGTAACGTGTATATGAGGAAGTTTCCCTTAGAAAGTCCTGCATGAACGTATCTCTTCCCTTAGGCAGATAGCTCTCATATACTTTGCTATAATTCAACTAACCAGAATCAAAGGGACTGAGACTAACAAAATTTCCCTTAAATAGAGGTGTGCCTTATGGGAGGTACTAATGTATATTATTGGAGATAGTTTGTCTTGTGTTGATACAAACAATTTGAAAGTCAAGATAAAAGGTTTTTTTTTAACTGGTAATTTTAGGACTGCTGTATTCTGTTTTGGAGCTTTTTTAAGGTAGTTTTAAAATGTTAATTTATTTAAGCTAAAATATGCATTCATCTTGCTTAGTTACCATATTTATTTTTCTCAAGTAGTTTCATGAAAAGAGTTCAGGTTTTCTTTCTAGACCAGTCTTCTAAAATTTATTTTTAAAATTTTCCCTCTGTGTTTTGACAATAAATATTAAAAATAAACTTTTGAATTAAATACTGCTATGAATTGTTATATAAGTATACAATTTATAAATATTGTTATTGTTACAATTTATAACTATTATTACTGAATTATACTATATCTGAAAAATTGACATTTCTTTCTTGTTGATTTTTAGTACTAGGAGTGAAACTGATTCCTTTCTGCTATTACAAATCAAGCTTTTCCTGCTAATTTCTGTCTGATATGTTTTTCTTCTTATTCTTCTTCTTCCCCTCCCTCTTTAATGCTTTAAAAATGTTACGTATACTTAATAAAAAAGCATTAATTATGTTAAATTGATTTAAGATTTAAGAGGAGCTGTTTTCAAGTAAAGACTTAAATTTAATTGAAAACATCAAATATAATTTCTTTTTTCTAAAATTTAAACTTTTCTTAGGTGGTATCAGTAATAAAAGAATAGTTCGTATAATGCTATATAATACATGCACTTTTGTTGTAAAGAAAAGTATGTTATAAGCATAATGTCAGTCATATTGTAAATTATTCCGATGTCCTACCTTCTCTAATAGGGTATATATATATTAGGATAACATCGGATATTCTTAATTGAATTATCAGATATATTTAATGAAGAAGTACAGAGAAAAAAACTGTACTTTAAATTTGTATGTATGCTTTTGAAGTATATTCCAGTGTTTTTTTAAATCATGAAATAATTATTTAATGCAAGAATAAACATTGCAAATTTGCCTAACTGTATGTGAAAAGATTGTTAAAATTTCTGCTTTAGATATGCTGTCTGAAAGATTCTTGAAAAACAACTTTTTCCTATCACAACTGCTTGAATAAAATATTTTCTTGAACTTTAGCTATTGGAATTATATCTGCATACAAGAATTATAATTCCGTATAGTTACTTCAATGTTAGAAGATATTTTTTATGATGATTTATCATCATTACATGTTAATGGATAGCAGAATTGCAAATGCTGGTATCTTAAAATGAAAATCGGCAAAGATGGTGCTGAAATAGGATTGAGAACGTCTACTATGCAATGAATTAGGTAGAGTGCAGGAGTGAATTTGTGAAGTAGAGAGTTTATCACATCTGAACTTTTGAAAGCCCTCCATCTTAAGACATGAATATTTTCACTGTTTCAATGATTTGGATGTTTCTTTTAATTGTAACATGTTCAAATCTATAAATCTACTTTTGCTTGTATATAACCTATCTCCCATACCTTTCCATTAACAATGGCTTTTAGATAAATATCTCTATTTAAGAAATTTTAGTTATTTTTGTAAATGAATGTATTATAAACAGTGTTTTAACATATATTCATTTGAGTAACTGCATTTTGAAGGAGAGTTCTGTTTCATCAAATTTATATTCAGATTCCTAATGTAGGTTTTGCCTTTTCCCCAGTATTCTTTAATGGCATATTACAGAACATAGAATAATATATAATTACTAATAAATTTGTAAAAGAAATGTGTCTGAATTCTGACTGTAGAAAATTTTATAGTAGTGCATGCATTTCTAAATCTTATGAATGTCATTGCAAAATAGTTTTGATACGGTTCTTTTTTACAGAATGAAAATCTCTTACATAAATATGTGTTCTTTAGTATCTTGTAGATTGTTGTAGAAGTGCTGCATCATAGTTATCTTATAGATTTTTTCTATATAATGCTTTGTATTCATTTTCTTTTGCAGATGGACCAGTTTATTGTTAGTACTACTCAAGATGCTATGTCTCTAGATAGTCTTGAAAGTTCTCATCCAGTAATGACTGATGTTGATGATCCTGTTGAAATTGAAGCAATTTTTGATGCTATATCTTATAAAAAGGTATGCAGTTTAATTATAAGAGTTACAGTTGTTGTGTAAATGTTTCAAACAATTTTTATGTGTGATGTGTGTTTTATGTGCTAACAATAATTATGAAATTATTTCAGTCTTGTAGACTGAAATAATTTATTTCAGTCTTGTAGTCAGTAGAAAATTTAAAGATATCAAGCATAATGTTTTTATTTCATTAGAATCATTGGTTTATGTTTATAAGTATATAATAAAAGTAGTAATTCAGAAAACATGGTATTTTATAGAGAATGTATAATTTCCAGATTTCATTCTTTCCACAATGAATTTATTAAATATACTTTAAAATTTAAAGGAGCTTCTTTCTATATTCTTATATTATCCATTATTTTACGTCTATATGATTGATCATTCTATTTTGTTATGTATTTCTCTGGGAAAATTTTCAAGCCAGAATACTGAAATTCAAGTAGTCAAATAATGTAGTGGATACCTTCTTGAAAAGCATCTAAGAAACTACTTGAAAGGACAGCACGTTTAATTACATTTAAAGTATTTACGTTTTTAACAAATAAGTTAGTATAAACTGAATTAACTTCTTTGATACATTTTTATTTACGTCTTTATCGCCGTCATACTTTTTTACTGCATCTTGAGTCAACTCATCTAGTTATCAACTGACAAAACGAAAAAATACATTTAAAGAATTATATGTTGAGCAGTCTGTATGCCATCTGGTATTCAACACTGGCACTACAATAATATGAGGTATCTCTTACAGAAATACATACAATCATAGTATCTGACAGTCATAGTACATTGTACGATTCAAAAGTTCTCAGACTGAGTCTTAATGTAAATATATTTTGCGATAGTGTGACTACAAGAATGTTTTTGTGTTACTATGTTCTCCCCCTTTTCTAAAAGTGGTTTGTTCCTAATCACATGGTCGAAAGCTTGCGGTGACAACGTTTTTTGTAGGCAGGTGCATTTAGAAACTGACGATAGAAAAGAAATGGCGTCAAATGAACAGAGAATCAATATCAAATTTTGTGTTCGCTTGGGAAAGAGTGCTTCGGAGTCTTTCAAAATATTGAAGCATGTTTACGGAAGTGAAACGTCTTCGAGAACACAAGTTTTTGAGTGGCATCATCGTTTCAGAGAAGGCAGGGAAAGGGCCGAAGGCTTAGACTAGTGCTGTGACTTAACGCACCGATGAAAACATTAAAATGGTGTCTGCGGCGGTACGTGCGAGCAGGCAGCAAACAATCTGCCAAATAGGCAGAACCAGTTGGGATATCAGAGGCCATATGTCAGCTGATACCGACTAAGAATCTTAACATGCATAGGGTATAAGATTCAAAAGTTCCTAGACTGAGTCTTAATGTAAATATATTTTTTACGATATTGTGACTACAAGAATGTTTTTGTGTTACTATGTTCTCTCCCTTTTCTAAAAGTGGTTTGTTCCCAATCACATGGTCGAAAGCTTGCTGTGACAACGTTTTTTGTAGGCAGGTGCATTTAGAAACTGACGATAGAAAAGAAATGGCATCAAATGAACAGAGAATCAATATAAAATTTTGTGTTCGCTTGGGAAAGAGTGCTTCGGAGTCTTTCGAAATATTGAAGCATGTTTACGGAAGTGAAACGTCTTTGAGAACGCAAGTTTTTGAGTGGCATCATCGTTTCAGAGAAGGCAGGGAAAGGGCCAAAGGCTTGGGCCATCCTGTGACTTCATGCACCAATGAAAACATCAAAAAGGTGTCTGTGGAGGTACATGCAAACAGGCAGCAAACAATTTGCCAAATAGGCAGAATCAGTTGGGATATGAGAAGCCATATGTCAGCTGATACCGACTAAGGATCTTAACATGCATAGGGTGTGTCAACACATCATTCCCCATATGTTAAACATAAACCTAAAGGGAATTCAAATAGAAAAGCTGTGAGACTTAACCTCGGCTGTTGACAAAAATCCTTTCTTATATAGCAGAATTGTTACTAGAGATGAGAAATGGTGTTTTATGTACGACCTGCAAACGAAGAAATCACCACAATCTCCACGGAAGCAAAAATTCTGCCAAGATCACTCTAAAGGAAAGGTCACACTAGAGGTATTCATCGATATCCAGGGCATTGTGCATCTGGAATTTATTCCTGAAGGACGCACTGTGAACTAAGAACTCTAAGTTGAAATCCTGCGTCGTTTGCATGAGTCAATCCAGAAGAAGAGACCAACTTACCTGATCTCGCACCCTGCATTTTCTTCCTATTTCTTGAACTGGCAAGACGCTTGCAATCTTCAGATGAAGTTAAATGTGCATCACAGACTAAATTAAAGGACATGGCCAAAAATAGATTCCAGACATGCTTTGATGAACTTTACAGGCGCTGGCAAAAGTGTGTTGTTGCACAAGGGTCTTATTTCGAAGGAGGATGTGTTTCTGCAGTTTAATTCATAATATTTTTACATTATAGACTCAGTCCAGGAACTTTTGAATCCTACCTCGTATATCTGTAATCATGAATTTATTTGTAGTTCTTTCATCTGATTTACACTTATGTCCATAAATTAAGCATAATTCGGAGTCACGCGGAAATCGAACTCTAAAATAAATATATCACCTGTAAAATCACTACACACATCTGCAAGAATCATATGCAAATTTCAGGAAGTAACCAGATGACACCGAAAGTACGTCACAATGACGAGAGTGTAATATAAGGAATACAGGCAAAGAAGTAAAATTGTTCGCAGGAGCTTTATAAGCATTTCAGGGCAATAACCGAATAGTTATGACACAAAAGACGCATTTGGATGATTTTCTACGTGGTAGAATTATCGGCTGTCTGGAATGTGGAAGTACCCAACTGGAAGTATCAGACGAACTTGGAATTGCCCAGAGTGTCATCTCCAGGCTTTGGCAACAATTCCAAGATGATGGTAATGTGAATAGACGTTACAGCACAGGTCGCCCCAGAGTTACATCGCCGAATGAGGACCGGTATTTGGCAGTTACTGCCAAAAGAAACAGGCGGAGCACAGCCTCAGACCTGTCTCATCAGTTCTCTTCAGCCACTGGTACGACAATTTCAAGGCAGAACGTGTACAGACGCTTAGGGCAGATTGGTCTATATGCTCGTAGACCTGTCAGATGCTTTCCACTTACTGCAACTCACTGTCGCCTGCGGTTAGCCTGGAGTAGAGAGCATCACCACAACAGTGGGCTTGTGTGATGTTTTCTGACGAGTCTAGGTTTAGCTTGCAGTCTGATTCTTGCCGGACTTTCATATGGAGAATTCCAGGTACCCATTACCACCAAGAAAACATCATTGAATGACACCGTTACGGTGGTGCAGGAGTGCTCGTTTGTGGTGGAATTATTCTGGGTTCCAGAACTGATCTGCATGTTCAAATTGGAACCATGACAAGCCAAATCTATCGGGACGTCATTCTGGAACAACATGTACGTTTGTTTTGTTGCGCCATGGGAGCACAATTTGTGTTTATGGATGACAACTCCCTTTCTCACCATGCAAACATCGTAAGTGAATGCCTTCAATCGGAGGATATCACCCATATGGACTGGCCAGCATTCTCACCGGACTTGAATCCAGTAGAGCACGTGTGGGACATGCTTGGCCAACGAGTTGCAGCCCGTTAACCTCCTCCTACATGTCTACCAGAACTTCGGAGAGCATTGCTTTTTGAGTGGTGTAATATCCTCCAAGATCAGATCGATAATTTGATACTCAGCATGCCTAGGCGTTGTACGGACTGTGTTGCATCGTCTGGGAGACATACAATGTATTAACAATCATACCAACCATGTAATATTGTTTTTTTGTAAATAGGTATTTTTTGTAATTTGTTCCAGGAAGAAAAAATCACTAATTTTTTTAATAATATCAAACATAGCATCTTTTTTTTTGCTCTTTACCTTTTGTTTAATAAATAAGCTTTACAAATAAGTCAAATTTGTTTTGTTTCTAACTCTTCCTTTGCCTGATTTTGCATTATCCTTAATTTATGGACATGAATGTATTTCAGTTTTTAAATTTTCAGTTGTGTCCCCCCTTGTTGCTGAGTTATGCAATGCAAAGCTCCTAGTGTATAATCACTTGCCCATTGTTACTGCATTTATTAACCCCTTCTTGATTGGCACATGTCACATGTTAGGCTTTTTTGTGCCCATGCGGTCAGCGTCATGTGCCATGTAACAAAGGGAAAAAAATCACATCCTTGAAAGTGAATTCGTCCCTATTTACACATCTCATTATATTTCGTGATTATTTTTTGTATTCCTGAATATTGTGAGTTCACGATGCAACTAGTCCTACTTTCTACAAATTTTTTATAGTGAGATTTCCTACCTTGAATGGAAAACCTAAGCAATTTGTACTAAGGCTGTTTGTACATTTTTAGATGATTTTCATTACATTTACTGAAATATTTTACCTAAAATTTTTCTGTTTTAAATGTTTCATTTGATGACCCTTATTTTTCACTGTCTTTCTACACCATATTTTTCAAGACAATAAACTTTTTTTTAGTAGCGGAAGAGGTTTCTTATTCCATTCTTCTTGAACAGCTTACCAAAATGTAAGGAGGGTTGTAAATTGACTTCTGCTGACAAAAAGTCCAAAGCGCAAAAATTCATGAATGATCCATCAGGAGATTTATTTGGGTGAAGGGTATGGCCTTGATACAGGTTTCTTATTCCATTTTTTCCAGGAAATTAATAGTGGATTTTGACTTGTGGCTGCTTGCTTTGTCTTAATGTAGTTCTGCTGATTTATGCCATTGTGAGGAAAGAGAAGGTATTTCATATTTGAAAATTAATTTTGAAAAAACAATAAAATGTGTTCCTGATAATATGTAGAATTCACCTTAAGAGTTTTCTGTAATCTCTTTAATTTTTATTTGTTGCTATATCAGAAATCAGTAACAATCATAAAATCTCTTTGAAAGACTTTCTTTAGATTCTTTGAACCATGTTCTAAGATTTTTTTCTTCTCTTTGATGGT